CATTTAAGTAAAGGACTTTGGGCAGATAGATCTTTATCTTTCCACGTTTAAGTGCTAATGAAGACTTCAGACCTGGGCAGTATACACACAAGTAAAGCAATACGCAGGGAAAAGTTTTCACTCAGTAGCAATGAAAAGAAAAGCAAAATAAAGTACAATGACAAAGGGCTCTTTTTGTTCCTACTAATACAGCAAGAAGAAAAAATAATGCTAGCACTAAGACTAGGGCAAACAGGAACACTGGCCCAGTTAACGTCATTATGAACTGCCTCACCTCTGTCAAACAATCTGGTGGAATTATCAGTCGTAAAAATGTTCATACCCTTTGACCTAATAATCTGGCTCCTGAAAATCTATCCTAAGAAAACATTCAAAAGAATAAAAATCACTGTGTTAAGGTGTCTGAATCAGTGTTTTTCAAATAAAATGTCAGAAACAATCTGAAATGTTTATCAACAACAAATAAATCTGTAGATTATGGTTCTTTAACTCAATTAAATACTGTATGCTCAAATAATAGACAAGAACACTAGACACAAGAAAAGACTATATGGAAAATAAGCACAATAAAGTCAGGAAAAGACCACGGATATACCATTAATCCTGAGGTAAAAGGTTTTATATATATATTTATTTATATATGTATATACACACATATTTGTGTGTGCGTATATATATACACATACACACACAGACACACACACACACACATATATATATAGAGAGAGAGAGAGTTTAGAAAAATATCTTATTTCTAAGAACCCTTGAATCAATTTTGATAATTCCATACAATTGCCATTAGCCCTTTAATAAGAAAAAATCTTTGCAGACAAAGATGGCATGCACATTTGGAACACAAGCCAGAAACACACCTCTGGGAACACATTTCTTATACACAGAGTAAAGATCACTACCAGTACTTTTGTCCAAATCAATTTGTACCTATAATCTCCATGTCAGAAAAAGTGAATTCATGGTTTTCATAACCCTTAAGAACCTAACAGGTAAACTAAGAAAATAAGCAGAATTATTCTTTTTCTTTCTTTCTTTTTTTTTTTTAAGAGACAATCTCACTTTGTTGCCCTAGGTGGAGCACTGTAACGTCACAGCCCACAGCAACCTCCAGCTCTTGGGCTTAAGCGATTCTCTTGCCTCCCAAGTAGCTGTGGGATGACAGGCACCTGCCATGCACCCAGCTATTTTTTTTGTTGCAGTTTGGCCAGGGCCAGGTTTGAACCTGCCACCCTTGGTATGGGGACAGTGCCCTACACACTGAACCACAGGTGCCACCCAAAAGCAGAATTATTCTTGAATAGAAAATGTAGAGTGGGCTCAGCACCCATAGTTCAGTGAGTAGGGCAGCAGCCACATACACTGAAGCCAGCAGGTTCAAATCTGGCCCAGGCCTGCTAAACAACAATGACAACAGCAACCAAAAAACTAGCTGGGCATTGTGGCAGGCACCTGTAGTCCCATCTACTTGGGAGGCTTAGGCAAGAGAAATCGCTTAAGCACAAGAGTTTGAGGTTGCTGTGAGCTGTGAGACTACAGCACTCTACCCAGGGCAACAAAGTGAGACTCTGTCTCAAAAAATAAATAAAAATAAAAATAAAAAGTAGAATGACTCGGCTCGGTTCCTGTGGCTCAAGTGGCTAAGGCGCCAGCCACATACACCTAAGGTGGCGGGTTCGAATCCAGCACAGGCCTGCCAAACAACAATGATGGCTACAATTCAAAAACAGACAGGCGTTGTGGCAGGCGCTTCTGGTCCCAGCTACTTGGGAGGCAGAGGCAGGAGACTCGTTTGAGCCCAGGAGTTGGAGGTTGCTGTGAGCTGTGATGCCACTGCACTCTACCCAGGGGGACAGCTTGAGGCTCTGTCTCAAAAAAAAAAAAAAAAAAGTAGAATGACTCTAGTAATCTGCCATCCTGTCAAAATCTTTAGGTTTTGGTTCTATTTTAACCCATTCTCTCAGTAGACAACTCTACCGTTTTCCATGTAATTCAGAGCACTGTAAGCACTAGCCTTAAATCAAATTTAAATGAATAACATTAGTGCTTTCTATCAAAAAATATTAACTGCTTTCACAGACAATGTAAGTAAGAAAATGTATTTTGTTCATGCCATTTGTGCAAAAATGTGCTGACTGGGAAAAAAAGCTTACAAAGTAAATGTGCCAACAGTGGTGGGGGTGGGAAGGGCAGAAATCCTACAAAAGAAATCTGTCAGCTTGTAAAAAGAAATATGTTGGCTAGGGGAAAAAAAGGTTTGTAAAACACTGATGCTATTTGGTTTTATATTTTTATGACACTCAATAGAGCCATGTACAGTGGTGATATTCTTATCTCTGTACAACATTTTTTGGAAAGCTGTAGAAGACAGTGTCATATAGGGAAGAGGGCACTGTTTTGTACATCACATGCTTCTTTCAAGCTAACAAAATCCGTCAAATTGTTGTCTAGAAACAACCCAAACATCCACAGGCTGATGAATGGATAAACAAAATGTGACATACTCCTACAATGGAATATTATTCAGCTGTTAAAAGGAATGAAGTACTGAAATATACCACAATGTGGATGAATCTTGAAAATATTATGTTAAATAAAAGAAGCCTAACATAAATGACCAGAGATCATATGCTTTCATTTACATGAAATGTCCAGAACAGACAAACCTATAGACAAAAGTAGATTAGTGGTGGGATAAGGCTGGAGATGGGACTAGTGGTAGTTAAATGGTATAGGATTTCTACATGAAATGATAAAAATGTTCTAAAAGTGACTATTGGCTGTGCACTGTAGCCCACACCTATAATCCCAGTGCTTTCGGAGACCACAGTAGGAGAATCATTTGAAACCAGGAGCTCAATGTTGCAGTGAGCTATGATTGTGCCACTGCCATCTAGCCAGGGCACCTGAGCAAGACACTGTCTCCAAAAAAAGAAAAATAAATTTAAATTAAAAGTAAAACTAGGCTCGGCACCTGTGGCTCAAGTGGCTAAGGCGCCAGCCACATACACCTAAGGTGGTGGATTCAAATCGAGCTTGGGCTCGCCAAAACAACAAAGACGGCTGCAACCAAAAAACAGCCGGGCGTTGTGGCTGGTGCCTGTGGTCCCAGCTACTTGGGAGGCTGAGGCAGGAGACTAGCTTGAGCCCAGGAGTTGGAGGTTGCTGTGAGCTATAATGCCACAGCACTCTACCCAGGGAGGACAGCTTGAGGCGCTGTCTCCAAAAAAAAAAAAGTAAAACTGAATTGACTGTGGTGATGGTCACATAACGCTGTGAATACAATAAACCCAATAAACTGTACACTGCTAACAAAGAATTGACAAATCACATGGAATGTGAATTATATCTTCAATAAAGTTGTAAAATTTATAACATTTGTTAAATTTTTTTCAAAACCAGCTTTGGTGCTGTGTTTAAGATTCATAAAAAGCATCAACATTATTTTGGTCTACGCTAACAAAAAATCTTAAGTCTTATTTCTATCAAATACTTTGAGCACAATGCTTTTTTTAAAAAGCTCAGTGTGACTATCACTAAATCTTTTTATATCTATATACACAAAATTAGATAGATATAATTTTAGAACATTAATTTTTTTCACAAACTGGTTTTTAAACAAAGTACTGGAAAACATCTGAAAGCCAAAGGATCACTAAGATCCATGAAGAGAAGAAAGAAATTCTGATATAGTATTTATAAAGAAAAATGTTAGTTACTTAGAGAACAATGGCTTCTTATCCAGAGAAAAGGAGATAAATGTATTCACTTTGAAATTTTCCCTATTTAAATTTTATTCTTTCAAAGAAACTTTATATACCTTAGAAGCTTTATATTCACTTTTTTTTTTTTTTTTGAGACAGAACCTCAAGCTGTCACCCTGGGTAGGGTGCCGTGGCATCATAGCTCACAGCAACCTCTAACTCCTGGACTCAAGCAAGTCTCCTGCCTCAGCCTCCCAAGTAGCTGGGACCTCAGGTGCCCACAAACGCCCGGCTATTTTTGGTTGCAGCCATCACTGTTGTTTTGCCGGGTCCCTGCTGGATTCGAACCTGCCACCTTAGGTGTATGTGGCTGGCGCCTTAGCCACCTGAGCCACAGGCACTGAGCCTATATCCACCTTTAAAGGAGAAATTCTGATTATTTCTGGTGACTCTTCTTAAGAGCTAAAAAGGCATTTTTTTAAGGAATTACCTGGTCACCCAAGATGCCTGCGCCTTCCTCTGCCTGAGCCCCTTTGGCACCTGCCCTGCCCCCCTTATCACACTTCTCCTATTAGTTTAGAGGCCCTAGGAGGGCAGGACAGGTATTGTCCTAGTCACTGCTGCATCTGCAGAATCTAGCACAGTGGAAATGACACAGGATGGGCAGTCTAGTGGGATTACTGTCACACATCACCGTCTTCCTCCTCAGAAGTTCATTCGTGAGTAAGACCAATCAGACATTAAACCAGTAGTTCTCAACCTTCCAAATGCCGCGACCTTTTAATGCAGTTCCTCGTCTTGTGGTGACCCCAACCATAAAATTATTTTTAATGAAAATACTATTAGCAATGAAAATAATTTTATGGTTGGGAGTCACCACAACACGAGGAACTGTATTAAAGGGTCGAAGCATTAGGAAGGTTGAGAACCACTGCATTTAACAGTGAAATGGGGAACCAGTTTCCATGTGAATCAGGGTGCTATACCCAGGAGCATTGGTAACTCACAAAACAGCCTGCAGAAGAGTGTCCCGGAACAGGGTGTCATGCAGATCAAAGGGGAAGGGTCTTTTGGTTTTCTTCCAAGGCCTGCCCATGGGAAAACTTTTCCAGGGTGAGGAATGCCCACACCAGAGGGTTGGCGCAGGGGCGCGGCAGAAAGATAGTCAGAGCTATTGAGGCTGCTAAATGGGGCACAGGTGAGCCTCCACAAAGAGGCCTGGGGTCCTACATGGTCACAGAAACGATACCGATATCTGATAAAGAACAATCTGGGGAAACTTACTTAATAATGAATTTTCAGTTCTGAAAACAGTTCTTCTCATTCCCAGCCTCATTGTTCCTCCCAAATTGCCAGGGATGTATTCAGGCATATCAATCACCTTAGAAAACAAAACAAGGTCTGGTTTAGCCATTTTGTAAAAATGCAATTTCCCAAATTTCAGTTTTTATTTAGGGAATGATCACTAGGTAAGTACGTTCCCTAAAGTGTAACATCTGATCAAACCTTCCAATGTTCTTGTTCAAACACAGCTGTAATGTGCACACACCTCATGCTGGGCTGCCTTTCCATCTCTGCTTCTCATCTTTCACTCAAACCACTTGTAAGAATTTTATCAGGAGGATTTTTATGACCATCTTACTGCCTTACTCAAACTCTTAGTTCCAGGCAATGTTCCATAATGCAAATTCTTGGCTTCTGGGGCCTCCCACGTGGGTATTCCTATCTTTCCCCCTTATAACCTTCTTTCGATTGCCCAAGGCATTCCCTAAAGATTTTCCACAAACAAATTTTTCTTGTGGAAAAGATATACCAAAAGAACCTATTTATAGAAAACTGCTGGAAGAATTCCTTTTAAAAAAGAAAAAGGGCCAGGTGTAGTTGCTCATGGGTGGCCAAGATAAGAGGATCGCTTGAGCTCAGAAGTTCTAGACCAGCCTAAGCAAGAGCAAGATCCCATCTCTACTAAAAATAGAAAAATTAGCCAGGGTTGAGGCAGGCACCTGTAAACCCAGATACTAGAAAAGCTGAGGCAAGAGGATCCCTTGAACCCAGGGATTTGAGGTTGCTGGGAGCAAGGGCTGCCACCACTGCGTGCTAGCCTGGGCACGCAGCCCTCTCTAGACGGAGAGAGGGAGGTAGAAGAGAAGGAGAGACAGAGAGAGAGAAGTAAGAGTAAAAGAGAAAGAAAGAGAAGGGAGGGACAGAGGGAGGAAAGGAAATGTAATATTATCTATCCTAGCACATTCTGTAGCACACAGGGCACCTCTGATCGCTCACTCACAGCAGCTGTGTCAAGTCTTGTTGATTTACCCCTTCCAGATTTACCTCCCTCAAACTTCGGGCATCCATCCCTTTCCCTCCAACTCCTCCCCAGGTGACAGCAATGGCCACCCAACAACATTGTGGACATTCAATCATGCCCTGCACACTGTAGGCAGAGTGGTCTATTCAAATGGCAAATCTTACTGTGGCTTTTTTCCTGCTTGAAACTCTTACCCATGTGGTCTCAGCCCAGCCTAACTGACCCTACAGCCTCCTCTGTTCTGAGCACTATTTCTTCCAGGTCCTCAAAGCCATCTTCTTTCCTCAGCACATGCTGTGTGCCCTCTGCCTGGAACAGCTCCTCCTACTCCCCTATTCTCTTTTCCTAAATGAAACCATCCCTAATCCTGAGAGACTCTACTCAACTACCCAACATCAGTGTCTCTAGAGCAGGCATTTATATGAGCCATCGCCTAGCCACTGTCCTCTGTCTCTGCCCTCACAGAACCTGACTCTTCCCTATTGCTCCCCAGTGAGTGCTTTGCAGTGAGACTGTCAACCTCTGACATCTGGGGCAGCTTTATCTTTCATCACTCCAGAAAAAAATCAGTAACAGGTGATTTTTATGAAAAGCCTGTTTTTGTTAGTACCATAATTCATCTGTTTTTATCTGAGTTCTGTTTGCTCTGATCCCATGGTTTGTTTCATCTTTTTTTTTTTTTTTAGTTATCAGAAAAGACTACAGTTGGGTGAGTCAATCTGTTCTTGTTTTTTTCTAAGGGACAGAGTCTCACTACATTGCCCAGGCTGGTCTCAAACTTCAGGCTTCAAGCAGTCCTCCCACTTCATCCACCCAAAGCACTGGGATTACACTGCAGAGCTACCAAACCAGGCCAGAGTCAACCTGTTGTAATGATTACACCTTTGCTCAAGCTTCTCACTCATAAAACCTTTGTTGTGTTGTTTTATTCCACACCCTAACTGCCACATAGTGCTATATACAACTCTGTGACAACTTGAGTTTCATGAGGTAAAAGTTTTCCAAGAAAATATCTGATCTTATCAGTGCCCCAGAAGAACTTTTAGAGCCATGTGAACCCAGTGTCCCAAGCTCTCTTCAAGAGTCACCTCAGGGAAGGGGTGGAGAAAGAACTCAATTACCTCCCTTGTTGGATGTAGTCTCAATTCTAAGTACTCTTGGCCTTGGCATCTCTTCCCTATCTTTTGTGCTTGGCTAATTGTTGCTAGATTAAGTATTACTGGAGTGAAGTGAGAAAGTGCAATAGTTTCCAGTTGACAAAGCTGACCTGGCTTCTCCATGTATTTTCTAGGAAAGGGAGGATAAGGCTACAGTATCAGTCACATATTTATAAGAAGTCCTAAGTATATTCACAGCTTCAACTTCCACTCAAGTTTTCAACAACTTGAACCACCTAGGCAGACAACAGTGATGCCCTCCCTGGGTTTCTTTTTAGACCTTTACTCTCACTCTTCAGGCCACTCTTCATTACAGAGTTGGGAACCTACAACTACCTAGAAAAAGTCTTTAAAGGTAGTCTGTTCACTTACTGGAAAGTTTGGTATTCAAGAAATGCTCTAGGCTTGCTGCCTGTGGCTCAAGTGGCTAAGG